GAGTAAATACTGTGGGTGTTAAAATTCCATTCCCTTCACACCCACATGACCATCGAGAAAGATGTTTTAACTAGATACTGCCAGAAGTGTCCAGGGGAATTTGTCCGGTATTGTACACCTGAGGATGGGACGGACAGGTGTGTGTGTGTGTGCGCGCGCGTACGTTTTTAATAATTCTTTAGTGTATATGAGTTCAATACATTTCTGTTATTTTAGCGTTAGTTTGATATGCAGTATGTTATTTAATGTACTTCCTGTTTGTTTATTTTATTTTTTTTTACACAACAGTAATTAATTTATATTTTTTGATTTAACAGGTTCGGCGGGACTGCAGCACACCTACCCACGATGACTCCACCCAGAGCACCCACCATCTACCTGCTGCCCCAGGTGAGTCGCTCCTGTTAATTATTATTAGTGCTTGTGTTAATAATGATACTGTTATTAATTGTTTGAGTTATTTTTGTCAGTTTTTTCTTTCTTTTATGAGCAATGTTTAGCTGTAATGCCTTTTTTTCGGAATTGGTCAGTGGTCACAGTGAGTTTTTTTTTAATACTTAAGGCGTAAGGATGTATGTGTAAGAGACAAACACACACACACACACACACACACACACACACACACACACACACACACACACACACACACACACACAAAATTAGAGGCCAAACATACAGAAAAGGACAGACAGAAACTGAAAGGAGAGAGAGAGAGAGAGAGAGAGAGAGAGAATGTTCAGTTGCATTTCTACGTCAGTTGGGAGGGCCAGTTGTCCCTTCACTTAGTACTACCCGTCTCAGTCCGTCCGTCTCCTCTTAATGTTTCCGTAAACTAACTACAGATTTGCTCAGCGGATTACCTCATAGTGCACAGTATAGCCAGATGATCTTGTATCACCACCTACTGTAGCCACATCCTCGTTCCTTCTTATCCACATCTCCCAGTGTAGCCACATCCATATGTCTTCTCTCAGTCACATCTCCCAGTGTAGCCACATCCATATGTCTTCTCTCAGTCACATCTCCCAGTGTAGCCACATCCTCGAATCGTCTCTCAGCCTCGCACTATTCAAATAGGGATTTTATCTGTCCTAACTTTTCGGGAAACATTTTATCTGCGTAACTTTTTGTGTGAGCCACTCGCGTTTACCACAGCGGCGATGACTCCTGTGTTACTACTGCTCTACTGCTGTGATGCTGCTGATCTTCCTATCGTTAATATTGCTATTTTTCGGGCACGGCTGTTAAGGCTGCCTGTCTTGTTGTTATTGTTACTGTTACTGTGTTACTGTGTTACCTCTCCGTCTCTCCTTTAGCATTCCTATTTGTCTACCTTCCTTTCTATCTCTTTCTTCCTCCATCCCTTTCTTCCTTCCTTCCTAGCTCCCTCCCTTCCTTTCTATCAATCTATCTGTTCCTTCCTTCTTTTCTATCCATTCATTCATCCTTCCTTTCTATCCATCCATTCATCCTTCCTTTCTGTCTATCCATTCGTCCTTCCTCTCCTCTCTCTCTCTCTCTCTCTCTCTCTCTCTCTCTCTCTCTCTCTCTCTCTCTCTCTCTCTCTCTCTCTCTCTCTCTCACTCTCTCTCTCTCTCTCTCTCTCTCTCTATCTATCCGTCCGTCCGTCCGTCCGTCCGTCACACGTCATTGCTTATGCAGTAACTTGTGCGTCGGTGGACTCTTAGTTAGAGTTGGGCACACGGCCGCCTGTCACACGACCCGTCAAAACCTCTGGCGAGTCCAGGTTTGTATAATAATAATATGATGATGATGATGATGAAGATGGAGAAAACTAGGAAAAAATTGAAGATGTAGCATTCCTGTAGTGAAGGTGTTAGTGAAGATTGTCTACTCATAACAATTATATTGATTCATACTTAAAATAATAATAACCTCAATACTAGTTTTCATAATTACTTTTTTAAACAATTTTATTAATGAGTTTTTTAACGATGGTAATAATAATAATGATACTACTACTAATGACACTACTAGGTAATTTACTCTTGCATCATAACGAGTATAGCATTTCATTATAATCGTTGCCTCTGGGGGTGACTGAAATACTTTATTGATGAATACTTTTATAATTAATATATACCCTGTGTGATGGTGGTAGTGGTGGTGGTGATGGTAGTGTTTGTAGTAGTGGTAGTAATAATAATAGTAGTAGTAGATGGTGGTGATGGTAGTGATGGCAATAATATTAATAGTGGTAGTAGTGGTGGCAATAATATTAATGGTAGTAGTGGTGGTGGCAGTGGTGGTAATATTGGTGGCAGTGGTAGTGGTGGTAATATTGGTGGTAGTGGTGGTAATCTTGGTAGTGGTGGTGGCAGTAGTGGTAATATGGGAGGCATTGGTGGTAATATTGGTGTCAGTGGTGGTAATATTGGTGGTAGTGGTGGTAGAGGTCACGAGAACAAGGTGTGTGGTGTGGACCCCCGCACCCTTGAGAGTAATTGGGGGACGAACCTTTTCTCTGACGCCCTTTGATCTGAGACACGTCCAGCTCCTGGTGTGTGTGTGTGTGTGTGTGTGTGTGTGTGTGTGTGTGTGTGTGTGTGTGTGTGTGTGTGTGTTTGTGTCTGTCTGTATGTATGAGTTGCGACCTGTGTTGTAATGGTCAGCATGCTCGCCTCGCAAGCAAGCGGACCCGGATTCGATCCCCAGGCAGAGTGAAACTGTGGGCAAGTTTCTTTAAGCCATTTGCCTCTGTCTACCCAGCAGTAATTGGGGACCTGGATGTTAATCGATCTGCTGATCGTGTTCCGGGGTATTGGTTAGCCAGTGCAGTTAGCGAGTTGTCCGGTCATCTCGGACTATTCCTTAACACTGGGCCATGCAACTCGTTAACTTAAGGTGTGGTTGTTGTGTTGGCGACAGCTTCTACACCTTAAACAAATTCATGCTTAGGTGGCCATCCTCGTTACACGAGAGGCAGCCATTATGTATGTACAGTATGTATGTACAGTATGTATGTATGAGAAGAATAAAACAACGAAAACTCAAAACGGGTTGTGGATAAGCCTCTCAGTATCCGCGGATAAGTTGGGACTTGACGATAAATGTCTCCCCCTCCCCTTCACTTCCCTACCTCTTCCTCCTCCTCCCACACCCCTCCTTTTCCTCTCCTACTTCAAACACATACCCCCATCCTCCAGGTCCTACCCCTCCCCATCCCCTCCTCCTTCCCCACCTACCCCTTCCTCCTTCCCCTTTCCCCTTCCTACCCCTACCTCCTTCCCCCTACCTCCTTCCCCCTTTTACCCCCTTCCCCATCTCAACTACCTTCACTGTATCCTCTGTACAGAAAACAATGGATAATTCTAACACAGAATAATAATAATAATAATAATAATAATAATAATAATAATAATAATAATAATAATGATGGCCGAAAGATGTTTGCCAATAAAGGTGGTCAAGTCATCCTGTCGTGCCCGAGCGAGGTCAGGGGATCTTACTCTACACGTTAATGACAAATATCTCTCTCTCTCTCTCTCTCTCTCTCTCTCTCTCTCTCTCTCTCTCTCTCTCTCTCTCTCTCTCTCTCTCAGAACCAACAGGGAGTGAGGTGAAAGAAGGAGGTGATGAAAAGAGGAAAGTGGAGATGTTAATAGGAGGAGGAGGGAGAGTAGAGGATATAGGGAGAGGGAGGGAGAGAGGGAGGGAGGGAGGAGAGGAGAGAGGGACGTAGGGAGAGAAGAGAACGAGAGGGAGGAGGGAGAGGAGAAGAAAGAGGGAGGGAAGAGGGAGAGGAGAAGAGAAATGGGGGGAGAGGGAGAAGAGAAAGAGAGGGAGAAGAGAAGAGAGGTGGAGGGAGGAAGGAGAGTTGAAGAGAAAGGGATGGTGGAGAGGAGAAGAGAGATGGAGGGAGGACTGAGAGCATCGGGTGCAATAAAATTCCATTTTTGATGAGTTGTAAAGTTCACATCTCTGGTCTCCAGGAGTCGACCCTAAGTCAGTTCGTCGGTCAGTCTGACAGTTGGTCGGTCGGCCAGTCGGTCAGTCTGACAGTTGGTCGGTCAGTCAGTCGGCCAGTCTGACAGTTGGTCGGTCAGTCAGTCGGCCAGTCTGACAGTTGGTCGGTCAGTCAGTCGGCCAGTCTGACAGTTGGTCGGTCAGTCAGTCGGCCAGTCTGACAGTTGGTCGGTCAGTCAGTCGGCCAGTCTGACAGATGGTCTATTAGTCAGTTAGTTGGACAGTCAGTCAGTCAATCAAGCGGTTAATCAGTCAGTCATAAGATACAAGTCCTAGGAGACAAGATGCAGGTCCAAGGAGACAAGCTGCAGGTCCTAGGAGACAAGATGCAGGTCCAAGGAGACAAGATGTAGATCCTAGGAGACAAGATGCAGGTCCAAGGAGACAAGCTGCAGGTCCTAGGAGACAAGATGCAGGTCCAAGGAGACAAGATGTAGATCCTAGGAGACAAGATGCAGGTCCAAGGAGACAAGCTGCAGGTCCTAGGAGACAAGATGCAGGTCCTAGGAGACAATGAGGTGGGGAGACAAGATGTAGGTCCTAGGGAGACAAGAAGGAGACAGATGCAGGTCCTAGGAGACAAGATGCAGGTCCTAGGGAGACAGGTCCTAGGAGACAAGATGCAGGTCCTAGGAGACAAGATGCAGGTCCTAGAGACAAGATGCAGGTAGGAGACAAGATGTAGGTCCTAGGAGACAAGCTGCAGGTCCTAGGAGACAAGATGCAGGTCCTAGGAGACAAGCTGCAGGTCCTAGGAGACAAGATGCAGGTCCTAGGAGACAAGCTGCAGGTCCTAGGAGACAAGATGCAGGTCCTGCAGGTCCTAGGAGACAAGATGCAGGTCCTAGGAGACAAGATGCAGGTCCTAGGAGACAAGATGCAGGTCCTAGGAGACAAGATGCAGGTCCTAGGAGACAAGATGCAGACAAGATGCAGGTCCTAGGAGACAAGATGCAGGTCCTAGGAGACAAGCTGCAGGCCTAGGAGACAAGCTGCAGGTCCTAGGAGACAAGATGCAGGTCCTAGGAGACAAGATGCAGGTCCTAGGAGACAAGATGCAGGTCCTAGGAGACAAGATGCAGGTCCTAGGAGACAAGATGCAGGTCCTAGGAGACAAGATGCAGGTCCTAGGAGACAAGATGCAGGTCCTAGGAGACAAGATGCAGGTCCTAGGAGACAAGATGCAGGTGCAGCGATCAACGGTGTCTATTTTTATCCCACTTGTGTAAAGTTATTGATATTGGCTCTGATTGTCTTGACACACACACACACACACACGCACACACACACACACACACACACACACACACACACAACACACACACAAGAAAGAAGAGGGATGTTATGTATAATAAAATAGTGGAGGCAAAGAGAGAGAGAGAGAGAGAGAGAGAGAGAGAGAGAGAGAGAGAGAGAGAGAGAAGTCCGTGGTCTGATGAATTGTGTCTGGGTAAGACAGTGTGGCCAGGTAAGACAGTGTGGCTAGGGTGTGATAGTGTGGCCAGGGGTAAGACAGTGCCAGGGGCCAAGACAGTGTGGCTAGGGGTGAGATAGTGCGGCCAGGGGTGAGATAGTGTGGCTAAGGGGTAACAGTGTGGTCAGGTGGTAAGACAATTCCACATGAGGTAAGACAGTGTGGCCAGGGTGTGACAGTGTGGAGGGGTAAGACAGTGTGGCCAGGGGCTAAGACAGTGTGGCCAGGGTGTGACAGTGTGGCCAGGGTGTGACAGTGTGGCCAAGGAGTTAGACAGTGTGGCCATGGGGTAAGACAGTATGACCAATGGGTGACAGTGTGGCCAGGGGTGTGACTGGGGAGAAGGCGGCCATCTTAGTAGCCGGAACCACACCATTAATCTGGCGCAGGACGACACAAGGTGGCGCTGCTGAGTGTCCACATAATACTGATCCCCTCTGTCTCCCCTCACCCCTGTCTCCTCACTCTTGTCTCCCTTTTTCACTTACTTGCTCTCCTCCTTCACTCTCGCCCCACTTCCTTCCTATTTCCTTTCTCTTCTCTCTTTATTTCCCCTCGGTGGCCCTCATAGATTCCCCTTCCCCTTACTCTTTATTCCTCCTTAACTTTCTCTTTCACTTCCTCTTCCCCTCACTCTTGCTTCCCTTCCCTCTCTCTTATTCCCTGCTTCTTTCCTCTCCACTCTTCCTCATGTCTTTCCTCCCTCCTCTTTCTCCCCAGTCTTGCTCCCTCCACCTTTTCCTCACAGTCTTTCCCTCCCTCTTCTCCCTCAGTCTTGCCTCTCCTCCTGTCCCTCAGTCTTACCTCCCACCCTCAGTCTGCCCTCCTTCTTCTCCCCAGTCTGGCTTCCTCCACTCTCTCCCCAGTCTTGCCTCCTCTCTCCCTCAGTCTTGCTCTCCCTTCTTCTCCCTCAGTCTTGCTCCTTCTTCTCCCCTCCAGCCCTCTTCCTCCCCAGTCTTGCTCCCTTCTCCCAGTCTTGCCCTCCCTTCTTCTCCCTCAGTCTCCTGCTCTCCCCCTCAGTCTTGCCTCCCTCCACTCTCCCCTCAGTCTTGCTCTCCCTTCTTCTCCCCCAGTCTTGCCTCCCCTCCACTCTTCCCCCTCAGTCTTGCCTCCTCTTCTCCTCAGTCTTGCCTCCTCCACTCTCTCTCTCCTCTCCCCAGTCTTGCCTCCCTCTTCTTCTCCCCTCAGTCTTGCCTCCCTTCTTCTCCCCCCTCCCCATCGTCGCCCCCGCCTCGGCAACTTCCACTATGAGGTAGTAGGACAGGCTAGTAGACACAGAGGGGCTAGGGACATACAGAGGGCTAGTAGGACATACAGAGGCTAGTAGGACATACAGAGGCTAGTAGATATACAGAGGGCTAGAGGACATACAGAGGGCTAGTAGAACATACACAAACTAGAACATACAGAGGCTAGTAGACATACAGAGGCTAGTAGGACATACAGAGGGCTAGTAGGACATACAGAGGGCTAGACATACAGAGGGCTAGTAGGGACATACAGAGGGCTAGTAGGACATACACAAACTAGCAGAACATACAGAGGGCTAGTAGGACATACACAAACAGCAGAACATACAGAGGGCTAGTGGGACATACAGAGGCTAGTAGAACATACAGAGGGCTAGTAGGACATACACAAACTAGCAGAACATACAGAGGGCTAGTAGGACATACAGAGGGCTGTAGGGACATACAAAGGGCTAGTAGGACACACAGAGGGCTAGCAGGACATAGAGGGCTAGTAGGACATACAGAGGGCTAGTAGGACATACAGAGGGCTAATAGGACATACACAAACTACAGAACATACAGAGGGCAAAGAGGGCAGTAGGACACAGAGGGCTAGTAGGACATACAGAGGCTAGTAGGACATACACAAACTAGCAGAACATACAGAGGGCTAGTAGGACATACAGAGGGCTAGTAGGACATACAGGGGGCAGTAGGACATCACAAACTAGCAGAACATACAGAGGGCTAGTAGACATACAGAGGCTAGTAGGACATACAGAGGGCTAGTAGGACATACACAAACTAGCAAACATACAGAGGCTAGTAGGCACAGAGGCTAGTAGGACATACAGAGGGCTAGTAGGACATACAGAGGCTAGTAGGACATACAGAGGCTAGTAGGACATACAGAGGGCTAATAGACATACAGAGGGCTAGGACATACACAAACTAGCAGAACATAAGGGCTAGTAGGACATACAGAGGCTGTAGGACATACAGAGGCTAGTAGACATACACAAACTAGCAGAACATACAGAGGGCTAGTAGGACATACAGAGAGCTAGTAGGACATACAGAGGCTAGTAGGACATACAGAGGGCAGTGGGACATACACAAACTAGCAGAACATACAGAGGGCTAGTAGGACATACAGAGGGCTAGTAGGACATACAGAGGCCAGGACATACAGAGGGCTAGTAGGACATACAGAGGGCTAATAGGACACAAACTAGCAGAACATACAGAGGGCTAGTAGGACATACAGAGGGCTAGTAGAGAACATACACAAACTAGCAGAACATACAGAGGGCTAGTAGGACATACACAAACTAGCAGAACATACAGAGGGCTAGTAGGACATACAGAGGGCTAGTAGGACATACAGAGGGCTAGTAGGACATACAGAGGGCTAGTAGGACATACAGAGGGTAATAGAGACACAAACTAGCAGAACATACAGAGGGTAGTAGGACATACAGAGGGCTAGTAGGACATACACAAACTAGCAGAACACAGAGGGCCAGTAGGACATACAGAGGCTAGTAGGACATACAGAGGCTAGTAGGACATACAGAGGGCTAGTAGGACATACAGAGGGCTAGTAGGACATACAGAGGGCTAGTAGGGACATACAGAGGGCTAGTAGAACATACACAAACTAGCAGAACATACAGAGGGCTAGACATACAGAGAGGCTAGTAGGACATACACAAACCAGCAGAACATACAGAGGGCTAGTAGGACATACAGAGGCTAGTAGGACATACAGAGGGCTAGGGACATACACAAACTAGCAGAACATACAGAGGCTAGTAGGACATACAGAGGGCTAGTAGGACATACAGAGGGCTAGTAGAACATACACAAACTAGCAGAACATACAGAGGCTAGAGGACATACAGAGGGCTAAGGACATCAGAGGGCTAGTAATATACAAACAGCAGAACATACAGAGGGCTAGTAGGACATACAGAGGGCTAGTAGGACATACACAAACTAGCAGAACATACAGAGGCTAGTAGGACATACAGAGGGCTAGTAGGACATACAGAGGCTAGTAGGACATACAGAGGGCTAGTAGAACATACACAAACTAGCAGAACATACAGAGGGCTAGTAGGACATACACAAACTAAAGAATACACACAAACTAGCAGAACATACAGAGGGCTAGTAGGACATACAGAGGGCTAGTAGGACATACAGAGGGCTAGTAGGAACATACACAAACCAGCAGAACATACAGAGGGCTAGTAGGACATACAGAGGCTGTAGACATACACAAACTAGCAGAACATACAGAGGCTAGTAGGACATGAGGGCTAGTAGGACATACAGAGGGCTAGTAGGACATACAGAGGCTAGTAGGACATACAGAGGCTAGTAGGACATACAGAGGGCTAGTAGGGACATACACAAACTAGCAGAACATACAGAGGGCTAGTAGGACATACAGAGGGCTAGTAGACACACAGAGGGCTAGTAGAACATACAGAGGGCTGTAGGACATACAGAGGGCTATAGAACATACAGAGAGGGCTAGGGACATACACAAACTAGCAGAACATACAGAGGGCTAGTAGGACATACAGAGGGCTAGTAGGACATACACAAACTAGCAGAACATACAGAGGGCTAGTAGGGACATACAGAGGGCTAGTAGAACATACACAAACCAGCAGAACATACAGAGGGCTAGTAGGACATACAGAGGGCTAGTAGGACACATACAGAGGGCTAGAGACATACACAAACCAGCAGGAACATACAGAGGCTAGTAGGACATGCAGAGGGCTAGTAGGACATACAGAGGGCTAGTAGGACATGGGGCTAGTAGGACATACACAAACTAGCAGAACATACAGAGGCTAGTAGGACATACAGAGGGCTAGTAGGGACATACACAAACTAGCAGAACATACAGAGGGCTAGAGACATACAGAGGCTAGTAGGACATACACAAACTAGCAGAACATACAGAGGGCTAGTAGGACATACAGAGGGCTAGTAGGACACTGAGGGCTAGTAGGACATACTGAGGCTAGTAGGACATACTGAGGGCTGAGGAGGACATACTGCTACAGGGCCAGGGTAGGGACATCACAGAGGGCTAGTAGGACATACTGTACAGAGGGCTAGTAGGACATACTGCACAGGGCTAGTAGGACATACTGTACAGAGGGCTAGTAGGACATACTGTACACAGGGCTAGTAGGACATACTGTACAGAGGGCTAGTAGGACATACTGTACACAGGGCTAGGACATACTGTACACAGGGCTAGTAGGACATACTGTACACAGGGCTAGTAGGACATACTGCACAGGGCTAGTAGGACATACAGAGGGCTAGTAGGACATACTGTACACAGGGCTAGTAGGACATACTGTACACAGGCTAGTAGGACATACAGAGGGCTAGTAGGACATACTGTACACAGGCTAGTAGGACATACTGTACATAGGGCTAGTAGGACATACTGTACACAGGGCTAGTAGGACATACTGTACACAGGGCTAGTAGGACATACTGAGGGCTAGTAGGACATACTGAGGGCTAGTAGGACATACTGCACACAGGACTAGTAGGACATACTGAGGGCTAGTAGGACATACTGCACACAGGGCTAGTAGGACATACCACACAGGGCTGGTAGGACATATTGTACACAGGGCTAGTAGGACATACTGTACACAGGGCTAGTAGGACATACTGTACACAGGGCTAGTAGGACATACTGAGGGCTGTAGGACATGCTGTACACAGGACTAGTAGGACATACTGAGGGCTAGTAGGACATACTGTACACAGGGCTAGTAGGACATACTGTGCACACGGCTAGTAGGACATACTGTACACAGGGCTAGTAGGACATACTGTACAGGGCTAGTAGGGACATACTGTACACAGCTAGTAGGACATACTGTACACAGGGCTAGTAGGACACAGACACAGGGCTAGTAGGACATACTGTACACAGGGCTAGTAGGACATACACACAGGGCTAGTAGGACATACTGTACACAGGGCTAGTAGGACATACTGTACACAGGGC